ATTTTAATTACCTATTGTATCATTAATCTGAAATCTTTTTGTGTTAGCCCAGGTGGAGTAGGCAACAGAGCCGGCTGGAGGAATAGTCCATTCTAAATCGTCTCCGACTGTGTAATTATCAGCTGCGGCACCGTTGAACAAGGCCACTGCAACAAGAAGAAAGCAACCAACCAATCCCATACGACTCACCATTTCTCTGCTGTGTGTTCTTCTTTACGTCGTCCCTGGCTAAAAACCCTAATCTCTTTTTTTCTCTTTGGAAATTATGTTTTTTGGTGGATGATGAATCAATCATTTTAACGTCTACTACTTATACAAAAGGGAAGGATGACCAAAGGCTATAGAATTGATTGATTTTAACATATCGAAGGCGAGTTTCCTTGCTTTCAAATAAGGCGACTGAAGACCAAAAGCTATATTGTGTTCAACAATCTTTTTCGAAAATGGAATACGATACAGCATTGGATAAAAAAGATAAAACGTGGGATGAAATACCCCTTTTTTCCAATGGAAATGATGCATATAAAGGGTTTCGATAAAAATCTTGCCGGAAATTTCAATCTAGTCTGAGGGAAAAAGAGCATCTCACACCAATATACTATTTAGAATTACTATTCTCAAACAAAATATCTAAGATAATATCCGGTGGTTCTTCAAACCACACAACAAGATTGGTTACATTCAAGCTAAACCTTGCCAAACCATGTGCAACCTTATTAGTCACGCGCTTGCTAAAGGAGACCATCCCTCGGGGAAAATTCATCATCAGACTTCGGGCATCATCCAACACATGACCAAATTGACCAACATCTGTTGAAGATTCTAAAAATAGTTAACGTGTTCTTTCTGGAAACAAAAGACCAAAAATATCTGTTGTGGAATATTGTACAATTTAGGAAAAGTCACCAATTTTTGGTTTATACAAAATACGAGAATTTTTTTTGCGCGGCACATTAAGTGTTATAATACAAGTGATTTGATATTTTAATAAAAAAAATTCAACCATTAATATTATGACAGTTTGGTTAACCAGACCTTGTTTATGACGCACTAAAAAATTCCTCGTGAAATACAGTCTTTTTGCTTTTTTATTTTTTGGTTTTCTGGGTGCAATTGAACATAGCAACTATGTAAGTTCTTCATCGTTATCTTGTTTTTCTATATTTAGTAATTAGAATACATAGTAAACTCCATATGTTTCTACTTTCTAGTATATCGCCTTTACAACAATGTGAAAGGTACATATTCCCAAGAGACTAAATTGTAATCAGGCCAAATGGAAAGATAAGGGCAGGCATCGTGGCCCAAGTCATATACTTTTGACTTGATGAGGTGCGTTTGTATTGTTGCGACACATTATTATATTGCTTGGTCCAAGATGGATGTCAAAATGAGAAGGCATTATATGACGAAGTGTGACAAGCAAAAGCGATCAAAAGGTAACCAAGAACATATAGAAGTTTGTAAACCACCAAAAGGATCGGATTAACCTCAAATTTTGTTTGATTGATGATATGAAGATAACAACAGTATTAGCAAAGCTAAAGTTGCTTTTATACCCAATTTCCATTATGTTTTTGTATGGGAACAAAGTATGATACATTTTTTGAAGTGTTAATAACAGTTAGTCATGTAAATATGAACAATTTTAATACAAACCGTTGTTTTTATGTATGGGTCAAGATTATTGTTCAATACTTTATCAGCTACAAACTAAATGTGAACGATTAAAGAAGTAGAAAAGATTGATCAATGATTAAACGAGACTTAGTTGAACTGCTAAAAAGAAAGTTTTATGGTCATTAAAAATTCCATTTAATTTTGATATTTGCTTTGCAGCTCTCTAGTCCATCTTGGGTTACAGCGACACGAAACCAAGTTGGTCCTTCTGCTTTTTGCAACCGTCTTTTCATATTTGTTATACGTCTCTTTCTCTTGATTGAATAATGTATGAACAGGATTTGTTCTCTCTTTTGACAACCGAAGTCTGAAAGGCTTTGGCATTGAACAAAACCTAATTGAGAAAATAACATCTGACATAGTATAATAATAAATCAAATATGTCCTCTATCATCTGCGACGAAACTGAGATTTTCTCATATATAGTAACTAGGAAATCGTCCACAGTCCACCAGTTGCTGGTATGAAACCAAGATAACCTTTAATATGTTCGTGCAAGATGATAATGCAGCAGAAAGTAGGAAATATCTTACAAGATAAGGGGCACTTGGCACCGTCTCAAACCCTAATATGTCAATTTTTTATCTTATGGCAAACCAAACAAATTAAGTCGTTGAAAGAGTCGGTAGAAAATTAAAGTTTGAAGAATAAGATTGTAATATAACTGATTTTTTAGTTCAATTTGTTAGGAATAATCACCTCTGCATCCGAGATTTTGTTTTCAACGCTTTATATATATATATATATATATATATATATATATATATATTTCTTTTTAAAAGAAACAAGCAACCTATTTTATTGTATTCAATCTTTAAATCTTATAGACAAAAATTGTTAAAAAAACTCAACATTAAGTGAATTTATGTTTTAAAAAACGAAGGGCATGGGTGAAGCATTTCATGGGCTGGTTCGGTATGGGATACCGAACCGAAACCCTTGTCCCGATTCTCAAACCGAAGTTTTCGGAAATCCCAATTTCAAGATCGATCCCAAACCAAATTTTCGAGAATTCCGAAATAGTTTCGAGATTTCGGGACAAATCGGTAATCCCGAAATAATTTGGGCTTTTGGGCTATTGGAAGAAACAAGTAGATGACTCATATACTTTTCTGTTCCAGGTTTAGCAGCCATAGAATTGTAAATCAAATGGGAGGCCTATTAATCATGCATGCGGGAGGACATTGCCATCTCACATTCTGGGGTTTTCGACCATGGAGCACATTCTGCAGCTACCAATGTGATATTCATGACACAAGGACCAGCCAAAGGAGGGGGCTTTACGTCCTCACTCGTAAAACCAATTGCCCCATCTTTACCTCCTCTACACTTGGTTCTTTCAGATCAACAAGCTCCTCATCTTTTAGCATAGACGACTCAGTGTTAGTAAGAACAGATGGCAAACCATCAGACCACTCTGCCTTGGAACTATCCTTACTCACATGCTTGCTGGACTCTAGTAACTAGTTCACTGGGAGACTTATTAAACGGCAAAGCATCTCCATGATCCTTTTCTATTTCATCAAGCCCTCCACTAAGAGCAGAAGGCAGAGTCTCAAAATCCCTTTCTTCAGTTGAATGCTCATAGCTGCTCGAAATAATGCTGCCAATTTGGTCAACACTATTATCAACACTACTTGAAGAACTTTCCACAGTCGAAAATGATTCATTCCCTTGTTCAAAAGAAACTTCCTCTTCTTCTTGGCTTATATCACTACTTTGTATAGAAGATACCAATTTCCTTCTTTCAGCGATCTGCAAAACCCAAATTTGCTAATTCTAAGTTTTCAACTCTCCTTAATTACTAAAAACACAAAAGATGGTGAATGTCCATTCTTCTGTCAAAGTATGCTTACGAAAGTACAGTAATATGACACAGATACACAATAAATGACTAATAAGAAATAGTTTGATAGCTAGTGAAAAATGACATGCCTTGATTCATAAATTTTACTTCATCTAATAGGAGACAGCTTACTTATGTGCATGAACATCTCACTAACATGACTCATAAGAGCTCGGAGAGCTTATTTTAGGACGACACATGCATCATATTACTGAAACATTGTATTCATCCAAGGGAATGTTTCCCACACATTTCAAGCAGTGGCCTTCATGAAAAGAGATCACACGGCAGTACCTGAATGTTACATCTTAAAACTAATCCTATGTCCGAGATATAGGCACAATCCTAACATACTGCAAAATTCTTTACCAATATTGATGCTAATACTTCCACCAAAAACTGCATAACGCCTATCCATGTATTAAAGCAAATGGAGTTATATATTATATGCCCCTAAACATATAAACTAATAACTATGACACCATCCAACTAATTACTACCTCAACTGCAGAAACTTAACAAGAACCCCCCAGAGAAATGTTGCAGAGGAAGTAAGGATAAGACATCTACTTGTTTCTTGTTAGGTATGGGTAGAGAGAAAAACCAGTCTCGCCATATTATAAAATGGAAAGAAAGAGAAAGAAAAAAGGATAAACCTGCAAATTCTTGATAATTATGGTCATATCTGCTTCAGATGCTCACTTACAATCCTGGAATGAGGAATCTGCATATGCCTAATTGTGGAAAGCCCAACCACAAAGAAACAAGATACAATGTAAATAAAACTCCATATCAGTTCCAAGTGCTAAATTTCACAAACCCTAATCTAGAATTCGAACCCTAAACTAAATTTCAAACCCTAAATTAATTCCAAAATTTACCTGATTTGAGAGAGAGATCAGAGAGGTGAGTCACTTGTGTGATGTGGGTGTGGCCGGATTCGAAGACGGAGAGAGAATTGGTGAGGAGGGTGGTGACGGTGAGGTTGTTTAAGATGAGGTGAGGTCGAGTCGAGACTCGAGGGACGAAGAGAGAGAGAGTGACTGAGTTCTCTAAGGGTTTCAACTTTAATTTGTATTCAACGGTTGAGATTAAATTTCAACCAAATCCGATGGATGTTACAATTTCAAATATATATTTAAAATGAAATAATATATATATTTTTTATTTCAATTCGGTTTGGGATTACTGAAAAAATGGAAATGTGAGACCAATTCCTGTTCCGAAAGTTTGGGATCGGTTCGGTATTGAGTATCGAAATTTTTGGGATTTTCGATTTGGTATTTTTTTGATTCGATTTGGTATTTTCGGTATTTTTTCCATCCCTATGAATAGCCACATCTAAGCGAGTTTTTCACTAACTCTCACAAAATAGATGCGATTTTCCTCCCACCTCGCCTCCAAAGCCGCCTAAACGCGTCTTAGGACAAGTTTTTTAAAACATTGGTATAGTTTCATTGATGATATAGCTGAATCAAAGTTCAAAACTAAATTTATTATTACGTAAAAAAAAAAATGACCAATGTCGTGTAAAAACAATCACGCTATAGCTGTTTAAGTGAATGAATCACATCACACAAAATTAACTATATACCGCCAAGGAAAATAATCTAAAACAACAAAGCCAAAGCAATGGACAAAAAGGTAGCGGAAAGGCCAGCGGCGCCGAGAGAAGCTGCTGCAGAACCTTCAGGTGTCGGTGACGAAGGAGTATTTGGGCTGGTTGGACTTCCAGGTGGAGGGTTGGCACTAGAGCCTGGAGGGGGGGCACCGCTGCTTGGAGGAGTGGCCGTGGAGGAAGGTGGCGTGGCGGCGGTACTGCCGGAGGTGACATTGATGGCAAGCTTCTGGCCTCCGGCACAGTGGCCGGTGAAAGTGCAGATGAAGAAATTCGCGCCGGTGGAGTTGAGAGTGATTCTCGTTGGTGGGTTAGTGAACAGGGCGAGGGTGCTACTGGTGTTGCATGAGTCGTAGTTTGCCTTGGTCACTACCGCCACGTCGTGTGATCCGTTCAAATAGTTGAACACTGCACAATAGACAATCAAAATCAACACCTTAACGCTAATTAATTTGTAAATACGCAAATTTTTTACTAGGCCAAAAAACTAGAGTAATGTTATTCATACTATGTTTTTATACCACATTTCTATATCACCTTAAATGACATCTAATGTGAACAGCCACATCATTCGAAAAATTTGCAAAACCCAAGGAAATAAATGAGAGAAACTTCTCATATACCACAATCATCATTTAATTAATTAGTATTTCTTAATTATTAGTTTATTAAATAATGAACTAAATTTAAAATTCTAATTAATTCAAATGATATGGCTGTCCACATCAAATGCTATGGTGATATGAAAATATGATACAAAAATATGGTATGAATAGCATTACTAAAAAAGTAACTATTTTGATTTGCCTGAAAAGTGATCGAACTCAAAAATAAAATAAATACATTGTTCGAAATAATTGACTTAACTCACATTTTAAGGCAGGTTTGAGATTATTTTAGAATTAATAAAAATGTGTTTTGACATAGAAAAGTATTTATGACATTCACAGAAAACACTTAAAATTGATTATTCGCTTCTATGTCACAAAAACACGTCTAATAGAACACTTTCAAAAAATCAGTATGAAACTTGAAATTAAGTTTACAGATACGAAATAATTATGATTCCAACGCTTATTTAGCTGAAATTAGTATGAAACATGAAATTAAGTGTACAAAAACAAAATAGTTATCAAATGTGCACTCATTTAGCTGAAATTATATATACCAAGAGTGTCGCCGACAGTGAAGGTTTTATTGTCAGCCCATGTAGTGTAAGCTGCGGCGCCACCGGAAGGGACGGACCAACCCAACCCATCACCCACTTGGTAAGTAGTTGCCGCTGCCGCTAAGCTCATCAGCAAAGCGGCCGCCGCCACGGCTGCGAAAAACGCCATGTTTGTGTTCCTTGCCATTGCCGTTGTGTTCTTTGAAGGTCAGGTCGCCCCTGTTTTTTCCTACTCTCTTTTTTTTCCTCTGTTCTTGAAAGCTTGTAAAGGTTTTGGTTTCTAGAGGGTTTGTCTCTGTCATCCTTTATATAGAGGAAGGCTTTGTGAAAACCACAAATTTTGGCTGTTTGTGCCGTTGGATGGATGCCACGTCTGCGGTTCTGTGAGTAATATAGACGGTTCAGATTTGGTGACGGGGTCAAGTATGCCGAGATATGGGACTTGTGGAAACTCAGACTTTCGTGTGCGAGGACGAGAGCTCTCACCAAATAAATGTGGCCATCTTTGTGCGTTGACTAGTCATTGCTTTATATTAAATTACAGATTTGGAAATTGGGAAGATTTCCTCTAGAAAGTATAGTTAATAATTGAAGCAAGTGAGAAAAAGTAAAGGAACGGCCGCGCCCAAAAAAGGACAAAAGGCGAAAGGAAGGACCACTTACCAAGGAAATTTCCTGAGAAATAATGAAGTAATTTCATTTTTAATACTAGGAAAATTGGAGAAATGTGGATTAGGAATTTGTCAAACCTGGACTGTAGCGGTGGTGGGCCAAATGTGGATTCGTAAAATCCTAATTGTAAATTCGTGCGACCCTTGCTAAAATTTATTTTTCGATATTTGAGGTACTCCACACCTTGAAAGGTGTGATTAATTTTCAATGGGGTTCGGAAGGGCTAAAGCATTTTAGTCTACCTCTAGCTATAATCAAATGACACACGTTATTTCAAAACTTTCAACTAGAGAAGCACTTGTGTTTTTGACAGCTTTATACCTTAAATTCAAGATCAGAGAGCAAACCAGACTTGAAATTCTACCGCATTTACACTAGAGCACTTACCATAGTTTCTTTTTATTTATTAGGGTGTACTACTGTTTTTCTGTTGTTCAGAATTAGTTCTTTACAAATACAACTTTGTAACTCAATGAGAGAATGAGGGTTTGAATTGCCAATGGCATAGCCGTCTTGGCAATTTGATTTGTTAACAACCATAAATAATTCTAAAATAAACGAACAAGTAGACGAACTGACAATAAAGAACTGTTTTCTTCACCTAATTCCTACAGCTTACATCAAGTACCATCCACTTTTTTATCTAAGGAGTTACTCAATTTATTCTATTCTAATCTTAGATACCTAACGAAGCCTTCACCTTTGCTTTTCATGAAAAACACTTCCGTATCTCGGTGCTAATATACATGACAATATTCCTCTTTCCGTCTCTTTCTCCACCTGCGTGGTAAGGTTAGGTGAGGAAAGAGAGAGGGAGAGAGTCAAAACCATCAATGGCCACTGTTCAATCCGTGCGAATACTGGCAATAATCAAAGAGACAACCCGTGGTGTTGATCGACATTGCCAGAATTTTGTCATTACCAGAAAACCAGAATATTTATCGTGTTTGTGGTACTGCACTACAGAGCAGAATATATACATATTCACAAAGCAAAGAATAATAATCAAACTTGTTACTTAAAGGCACAAAGTGGCTGCTTTAATTTGCCCATATGCTCTTTGAGTTTTTGTTAATTTTTTAGACTATATGTTGCTTCAATTCCCTAAAAAATTTCCCTCGCATTGCCGGGGTTCCTTAGTGATAAAGGACTAGATTTCTCTTTATTACAATCAATAGACTACACTAAGGAGAATGAGTTAAAGAAGAAGACAGTAACCACCAAAACAATTCATCACTTGCAAGACGATATTTCATTTCACTAGCAACGATAAGGAAAGAATATATGTGGGCTCATTCCATTAGTCCGAAAATTTTACACATAATTGTCAGCAGCTAGCTAGCAACTTATTGGTTCATATATCCTAATGCCACTTGATCATCTACTAATTGACTAGGGCTTAAATCAGAATATATAGTTTTCATTAGATCACAATCCTAAGTAAGCAAATAAAATTTAGAAGCCCTCTGAACATGATCCTAGCAAGTGGCAATTAATTAGCTATGTATACTATATTTAATTCAGTTTCAAACTTCTGCCTTGATTGTGGACATTGATAATAAATAAAATAATATATGCTCGGAATTATATTCTTTGCAATCGATTAGTTTCTATGGTTTGTTTATTTGTTTTAATATAATTTTGATTAACCAACTCCATCGTTTGTTTCCAAGAACTTTCAAAGTGACTGACTATTTCCAAGTGATAATTTTTTCATGTTAGTAAGGGAGATGTTGAAAGCATAAATTTTTGTGATTCGCTAATTTCTTAGACAAATGTAATGTGTGTGTAATAGATTTAGTGCTAGATTTTAGATATGTTCTAGCATTTAGGTTTGTGATTTGAAGGCTTGCACGTCAACGGCAATAAAAAGTAATCTGATTCCGTGAATGACTTAAGGTAAACTTCACATGCATCATTTTGGGAAAATATAATTTAAGTGTTAACATTTTATTAGGATAGTGAGATGAAATAAAATCAATTCATGATATAAATCAATTTAGTTTACGGTTAAAGTATAATATAGATTTACTCAATTGTGGGCCGGTTAATTTGATTCTCACGTTCATTAAATAATGTTATAGAGTTTTCCATCAGGTTTTCTATCTTTGCCAACCATAATTTTGTGCGAGAAAAAAATTAAGGTAAGGAATTTGTATGCTAGGGTATAGGATTGAAATCCTAGTAAAATGCTTTCTTCTAGCTCTCATATCATCATTCATAATTTGTTCTAGCTCGCAGGCGAACCTTCGTGGTCTGAGGTGATCGCATTCAACTAAGAGGAGACAAAGAAAAGAAAATACGAAAACAAGAGGACACTGCGATATTTGAGTTTGTAAGTTGTGTCTTGTATGAGTCTTTGGGTTTGTTGTTTGCTCTTGGTGGATTATTTTCTGCCAGGGTGCCCGTGACTTTCTCCATTATGTGTGGGGTTTTACCACATTAAAGAAATCCTCGTGTGTTCGTCGTATTTTATTTTCTATTTATTTACTGTTGCGTGACAAGTGTTTCAATCTTGCAAGTTTGGGTGTTTTTATTTGGGGCTGTTTATCTGTTTTGAGTTCCTCAATTCATGTGCATTTACATATATAGATTTAGTGATATTTCTCTTCATTTAATTCATATGCATATGACGATGACGTTTGATAATCAAGTTGAGTTTTATATCTATATATGGTTGCTATTGTGTGGTTTAGTATTAATATCTTCTCCCTTTAAAAATGAGTATCGTTTATAAAAAAGGGGCAAGTTAATTGAAAACGGGGACCAAAAATAGGCAATTGGCTGCACTTATTTGTATTAACTAAAGTAAAGGAACGTACATACAGATAGAGCCAGGATTATTACGAATTGGTAAAGGTGAATACAAAAGCAAAATCATAAATATAAATTAAATATAAAAAAAATACAGCCTCATGGTATGTACTGCAAATGTATGGAACATATTCCAAAGGAATTATAAAAATCAACATATGAACTAGCTGGTGACCAATGATCAATAGAAGAAAGCAGCCACGGCAATGAGCAAGAAGGTGTAGCCGCCACCAATCCTGGACGGGGCTGAGCTGAATGGAGCAGAAGCAGCGCCTGGTCCACTAGCGTAGGGAGTACTATGCGAGGAAGGTGCTATGGAACCCGATGGTGAGTGGACGATGGTGAGTGGACGACGGTGGTTGGGCTGTGCTCCCGGATGTCACGTTAATGGCTAGCTTTTGGCCTAATAAGCAGCGCCGATCGTAGGTGGATATGAAGAAATGCTCACCGGTGGTGTTGAGAAGGATACTCACTGGACTATTTTTGTAAACGGCGATAGTGCTGTTGGTGGTGCAGTTTTCATAAGCTGACTTGGTCACCGTAGCCACATCGTCATGTGTCCCATTGACAAGGTTGAAAACTACAGAAGCAAGAAAGTAAAACATTGTCAAGGAATTAATAATTTATATGTAAGCAACAGAATTTGATTAGCGTTTAATTAGTCTAGTTATGAAACAGTCGTCGATAAATTTACGTTATCATCAACATCGATATAGTTACCTAGAGTGTCTCCGACAATGAAAGTCTTGCCATAGGCCCAAGCTTCATAAGCAAGTTCACCGCCTGGTAGGACAAGCCAACCCAATTTATCACCAACGACGTAAGTCACTGGTCCTGATCTGGGTGCAGGGCTTGGAGCAGGTGATACATGTTCCGCAGTCACGTTAATGGCCAGCTTTTGTCCCAACTCGCAGTGCTTGTCCTTGGTGCCAATGAAATAGTACTCTCCAGTGGTGTCCAAGGTGAAGTTGGCCGGACTGGTTGTCATAAGTTTGATGGGGTCTGTCGAATTGCACTTGTTGAAAGCTTCCTTTGTGACCCTCGCTACATCCTGGTCACCGTCGGTAAAGTTGAACACTGAAAAATGAACAACATAAATTCACAAAACACAGGTCCACTTGGAAATGCTTTCGTAAAAAAATATTTATACTCAGAAGCGAGTGCTTCTATGCATATCAAACCTTCTGAAGAAAATACAATTTTTTTTTTTTTTTTGACAAAGCACTTCAAATACTATTTGAAGAAATTATTGCTATGTGTTTCGTTAAAAAAAAATAAAAAACTTCAAATGCTTTTCGTAACCCATAAACATTTTAAACTTTATCTGCCAACTGTTCATAGATTAGTTTATTGTGATACGAAATCGCTCAATCTAAAAGCACTTCAAAACATTTTAGCTAAAAATAGTGAAACTTGAGTATATATGTTACGAACCAAGAAGGTCACCAACGGCGAAATGCTGCGTGGCTGCCCAGGCTTCATAAGTGTAGTTACCGCCGGGAGGAACCAGCCACCCGAGAACCTCTCCAACCACATGGGTTTTCTGTGCTGCTGTGGAGTGAAGCAGACCAATCACTGCTATGGCTAGGATGGCTATTGTGAGTTCTCTTCCCATACTGTCTCTTTCTATTTTGTAACTGCTTTTTAACTTGTTTTGCTCTCTTGTTTTTATGTACTAATGCGTCTGTTTATGTGAAA